GACCTTAGCAACTATAATATTGTTATAAGCATCAACCCCAGATCAAACCTTGCTGATGCTTGAGAGGGGTGGAGGAGCTAAAGGTGGGAGTTGTACTTTTATTGTATGTCCAGTGCCCCTTGCCCTGCTACCACCAGAAACATAACTCAGTGAGGGGTGAGTAATAAAGAATAATAGGGTCCAACATCCAGGTGTCTGGCTGATGATCTGTGTTGCATGTCATTGTCCAACCCTCCCAATCTCTCTTCTCATTTTCTGGCAGCTCTGTCCATGTTGGCAATCTAATAAAGGTATAAGACTGCCCATGAAGTAATACCACAGACCTGCCAATATGTATGGATTTTGCATAACAGGTACATGTTTTGATATCAAAGTATACTGGTACAATTTATCACTTTATAGTATGCAAAAAATATGGTGATACCCTATGAGTTTGATCAGTTGTGCAGTATCCTAGTAATCAAGTCTACCCCAACGAGCGTCTAAGCGGACATTCAGATGGATCTGGTAAAAACGCAACTACCTACTCGGGGCTGCATTGGTTGGGGGGGTGAGGGGTTGTAGAGTGTTGTAGGCATGTACAGTACGATATGGCCATGTTGTGATGAGTCGAGGTGAGTGGCTTCATTCACATTTCCAGCCCTCTAGTTTCCTTTGTTTTGTTGGTTGCCCATGCTGCTATCGTAGCCTACTCTATGTTGGCACCAATTTCTGCCACCAGTGCGTCAGCATTGATAGATAAAAACAGTTTAACACTAATGAAAGCGCATGGATTTTAAAGTGAACACCAGTGTGGCCCAAATTTAAGAGTGAACAGCAGTGAGTGCTCATGCTAACAAAATAAACAAAAGAGGCTTCATCTCGTGGGTGTCCGCATTCCAGTCATTCCCCATATGTGATTTGTCAATGCAGCACCTTTACTGGATGATGTCACTGTCCAGTGCGGCAAAAGTTCAACCAGATCCAGCATTTTCACCACATGGAGCTGTTGCCGGTTTCCAGAGCATCCTGCTGTGCTGGTGCCGGCATTGGTGAACGCAGTCCCCAGTAGAGATGAATGGGGAGAACTGCATTTTTTTCACACCTTTGAAACTCAGTCCGAACGCAGGTTAACCTATAGAACAGGTCTTCCTGCCGAAAAGCAAATAAAGAGTTTGAAGAGCTCTGGATTTGGGGATGATGGACAAATGCGTTTTATTTCAGGAGGCAGTAGCTAGGATCCGTAACTCAACAGAAATACTCTTGATCTTGATTTTATCGCTCTTGTTCCCCCTCCTCACTCTGGTTGGCTGGTTCCTGAATTGAGAACCATTCTTTGAAGTGGGGGGGGAAGTGGAAAGTTGAGATTATGATTTGAGTTAACTGTAGTCTAATGTTATATATAGTATATACAGGTTAGCTTATTGGTATTATTTACAGCAGTAAAATATTATAAAATGTAGGGGTGGGAATCCTTTTTGAAGCGACTCGAGGCTACAGTATGTACTGTAAATTCTGATCAATTGATCACTTGGACACAATTGTTGAGAAAAAACTTGTAATAATACACAAACTTTAGATCTATTAATTCGCTTAGCTTTTAAAGCACGCAGGGAAAAGGCAGACTATGGAAACTCACAGGAATAGTTTCAAAGCCAGGTGCCCTTTTCAAATAGCTCAAAAAACGGAGCTCTTTATTACATTTTCCATATTAACAACCCTACATATAAACTGCTTCTTGTGAGAAATCTCACACAGTGCACTGTACACTGACTGTGTGGTTGTAAGCCTGCAGCTCCTCTTTGTCTGCCCTTTATATGAGACAGTCCACCTCAGTAAATTATTTCCTCCCAACTGAAGCGGTACTGTCTAATTTAGAGTGGTTTGGGATGGGCCAAAGGGGTCTGCTGATCTGTCACTACTGTCTGATTTCTTAAATTCATGTCTTATTATAATCACTCTGATGTCAGTGAGTTGCTTCCTGCTCCGAAACACTTTACATTTGTAAAGTTATTTTGTTATTTTTGAATAAGCCTGTTCACGAGTAGGTTTGAGATTACGAACATGTTGCCAGGACAACAAGTCCCACGAGACTTTCCAAGAACCAACATATCTGGGATCATGTGAAATTGTCAACAAAGTTATCCAACTAGCATGTTAATCACCCCCTTGTTCATGAGATATGAACCTGCCCGGTGTTGCCTGACTCTGTTTTTTTGTCCTCTGCCTTCCTGATTCTGCTTAAACTCCTGATCTAGGCTTTCGGCTTTCATGTCCATGACTGGCCTGTTCTGAACTCTTGATTTTGAATCTGGATTTGCTGTTTGAATCCTTGGGCCTGGCTCATGTTAATAGTTGTTTGGACAGCCTAATGTTTTGTTATTTTGGATTTTTTAGCAGCGCTGGGCTTGGACAAAGGTTTTTTTTTGTTTTGTTTTGTTTTTTTACTGAGTTCAGGTGCTATTGTTTTTTAGTGTGCACAAAGAAGAGGGCTTTTCTGCCAGTTTTTCACTTTGGGTGCTTTTGCAGAGGTTCTATTCTGTTGACTTAGTGGCTTTTTGTTTTTGTTTTTTTTGTTTTGTTTTGTTCCCAAAATAGTCACCTGGTGTTTCCCCTCCATACTCAGTTGGACCGCTGTCGGATCCTCGCCTTCTCTGCCTGATACTTACATGGTTGACTGTTGTCTTGTCCTGGCTCCCTCCATTTGTGACTAACCTGGTTGGTCATGGTCCAGGCCCTGCTGTTCTGCAAAGATGCTGTCTCCTACTCACCCGCCATCTTATCTTGTCCGCCGACATTTTCTCTTCACTTGTCATTCTCACTGTCTCCACTGCTGCCTGCGATTACCTGTCCAGAGATCCCCTCCTTTCACCTTGGCGGTATGCCAAGGAGTGAAATGTAGACGTGCCGGCCCATTTTTTCAGACTGCTTTTAGGTGAATTATGTGGAAACTGAGCCTCCTTGGCAGTGGGTTGCCCTCTCTGGGGGCTGTCTACTTCATTATTGTTATTATTTTAATGATTCTGTATTATTCCTTATATATTTTACTTGACACTGTATCCTATATGTGTTTCTATTCTATATAGTTTGTAATTTATTGCATTTTAAATTGCATTAACTTGGATGAAAGATGCTATATAAATAAGATACTATAAGATAAAATAAATGTAAATAATTAAATATGATAAAAAAATAAAAGCTTTTATGCAGCTCACAAGTACTATATGCATTTTTCACAATTATGTATTTTGACAAATTACTTCAGCAGGTCTGCATGACCATCTAAGTATTCTCATCTAGCTAACAGTATTTGTCAGTAACTACCTTTCTGTGTGTAAAAGGCAGACCCACCCCCCTGTCTGTCAACCCTGTAGGGGGGCACTAAGCCCTGAGACTCAGGCCCTGCCCAACAGAAGCCCCCTACCACCAGCACTCCTGGTCACCACTCCGCCCTCTTCATAGATTCTAACAGCCAAACACATCCCATCGCCCTCTCCTGCAGCGCTCCTCCCTTCTCCTTTCACCACTCCCATACCTCTCCACATGCATAGCATTCAATGTGAATACCTAGGCTGCTAATTCTAACCTGCCGCTCCAATCAGAGGATCCTGTTTGTAGTTTTCTTCTGCTGGGAAACTGGGGTGGATGGAGCCAGGGACAAGGGTTTGTGAAGACTGCTATGTGACAGCCTTATTGGGTCATTCTGTTCTGACACTTGCTTGGTTATGTTATGATTACCAATTTCTTAAGAGAACAACAAACAGTGGTCTCCTTTTTTTTTCCTCTATCATTTTTTCACTTTTCTACAGAGGCTTTTATATCCTTTTCCAGTGTGTGATGCCTCGTCAGCAGATACTCAAGTGCATCCACAGCCACTGAAGTACACGTATTAGTTGTGCACTTATCTTTGCACTTTCATGGCAAGAGTTGGCAATAGTGACAGCTATGACTGAAATCTGGCAAATTTTTAAACTATTATATGAAGATATAACAATCATCTTTTTGTACAGTGTCAACTATTGGTAAATAAAGTCAATATATTGAACACTTAGAGGACCTGGATAAATCCAAAAATGTGCAAGGGGGAAATTTATAGGTGATACTGGTTTTGCCAGTAATAATGATGATTAGATACTTAAATGCAGTGTGCTGATATATAAAGTCTGAAACTTAGTGCTGGAGAAATTATTTCATTTCAGTTAAGTTCAGTATTATTCGTACAGCGCTGCACAACACAGCAATTATTTCTGGGCATTTTACATTTTGAGGTCTAGACCTTACAGTATTATAGGGAAAACCCAACAAGCACTTGGCAACAGTGGTGAGGAAAAGCTCCTTTTAACGGGAGAAAGACAGACCGACAGACCCAGGCTCTTGCCTCGACTGGATGGGGTCAATGATTTTTTTCATTTTAGGATCAAAGTTAGATTGTAAATGAAATATTGTGGGTCTTGGACTGTTAGTCAGGCTGATTGAGCCATTTGATATCACCCTGTCCTCTCCAAACTTATGATTGCCTTTTTTTTTGTAACTGTATAGACCAAATATAAAAAATATTTTTTGTTACCTTACTATGCACTGGCCACAGACTTCTGGAAAGATGCAATTAATATTTGGCCACTAGGGTAAATGTCCTGTGATATTGCAAATCAGTTGTTGGTGATGTTTTATTGTTTGGTGAAAAATGATGCAGAATTGCCCATCAAAAACAAAAGTGACACCTGTTTAACATAAGTGAATTATGCAGGCTACAGCTCCTCTGATATATTTGTTAGTCAATACATGGAGCTGGGTTTGTCTGAATGACCTCCCTGTCACTCACTTATCCTACCTGTGATACAGTATGAATATTCAGTTCTCAATGAGAACATGTTCATTCTGCTGCATTGGATTTGACTGGAGAGTTTTAGTGCAACTAGTTATAATACTTATGTGGGATATTTGCTTTTCTTTGTCTGTCTCCCCTTCCCCCTCTTTCTGTGTTTAGCTCCTTTGTAACAGGAACTGCATGCTGCAAGAACTTCTCCCCTCTTCGCATCTGGGATGTGGAACGGTAAGTCAAGAAGCTTCTCAGGCATGCTTCAGGATTACTGTACATTAAACTAAACAGCAAACCAAAGGCAGTATTGTTTGATGTATGTTAGATGTTTCATCATTTTATCTGCTGAGTGACAAGTAGTTCATACACTCATGAGTCAAGGTGCAGCAGGGTATACTTTAAATAACATTTAATAGATAGTTTGCCATGTTTTTGTTCACACTTTAGATTTGACAAGTTAACATTTTTCACTATTTCCAGAAAGTGTCAGCATTTGATTTATTTTATTTGATTTATTCTTTATTCTTGCAAGCATGTAAAGACAGTTGATATGTCAACACACATAATTTTACACATATCCAACAAATGCTAATCCAATATCAATTTGCTTATACCTAGTACATGCTTGAATGGAGTAGGAAGAAGTCAGACTTATCCAGTCCTACCCCATGACATCATCTTACCATCATTGGTTTGCAAGCAATAAATGATTCACTTCTACACACACACATATTATACTAAAAAAGAATATAACAGTGTTAACATTCTTACATCACACAAGTGATATACTAAAGAATGGTTACAAAATATACACCACACCCACAATAGTCCATGTAATTAATCATTGAGCCTGTTCTTGCATATATCTTGATTGACACATACCTTTATAT